GCCTTGAGCTGCCAGAGCCGGCGTGATTCAGCGTTTCTCAAGTAATACCTGTGTCGATCCCCTCCGCCCCCCCGGACTCCATTTTCAGAAATCTTTCAGCCCCAAGAACGGCGCCCCTGATTTTTGCTTCCTAGCCTTCCTCGCCGTCTGCATCTGCTCCTCATCTGAAGTCTCCAGAATCCTCACAGTGCCGTCATGCGAGGGTGCATTTTATTTTCTGCAGCAGCAGCAAGGCGGGGGTGAAGCCTGGCCCACCACAGCCTCTCCCCGTAGCGGGAGCATCCCTGGGGGCTGCCTCCCCAGTGTGCTGAACGCCTGCACCTCGGGAAGAGCCGGTCCTTTGGAAGGACTATAAAGCGTTGTCAGTAATCACTGTTATTCTTGCACAAATAGATCATCTATCCATCTTTGAGCATAGTCTAAATATATAAAATCTCATACAAGTGGGATTAAGTTACATGCAGGCACACAGTTCCAGCAGGGTTATCATAACAGCTTCTTGCAAACCTGTCTTACCTTCATGTTCTGAGTCAACTATTTGGCACTGCACAACGTATCTATTTCCCAGAGAAGCGTGTCTGTGGTCAGGGGACGTGTGACCAGGCTTGAAAAAAACTTGGACCAAATTCAATCCTATAATATAAATACTCATGCTACTAGGTCCAGGTCTGTAGTAATATCCTTAGAATAATACAGAAACCTGACATAAAATACACAGTGGTAGAGCAGGAGTGTGTCAAGAACAGGAATGTTTCTGTTTATTTAGAAAGCATTAAGATTTTAATTAAAAAATAATTGAAGTTTTCATAGCATCCCCTTGTTTTGATGCATGGATACATCACTCAATACAAGTGACACTACGCAACCCTTTGCATTCCTGGATCCTGTTTCTTAGGGTCGTTTGGTTTTAAAGAACTTGGGTAGCTCAGTGATTGGCTTGGGTTTTCTGTCAAATTAATTACAGGATACTCTTCCTTCCCAAGAGGAAAACCAAAGTTATAAAATGCCACAACTGCTACTGTCAAACATAGTAATTATATGCGAAACTAGGCTAAATTCAAACCAGCATAAAATAGGATATTTAAAGTGATTCGGTCATTTACTATGGTATAGTTCATTTAAATTATTTTAATAATGAAAACTGCATTTCAAGCAATTGTTTGGCTGGGCTAATGACACCAGGGGAGAACTCTTTGCCAGCAGTTACCTATTTCAGCTCCAAGGAAATGTACAGATTCGAGTTTCCTCCCTAAAACACATAGGCATTTTTGAAGCCATTCCCTATTCTTGCATATGTACAGAACACTCAAGTAAACAAAGTCTTTGTATTAAATACGAATGCAGTTGTTGTTTCCAGCCCATTTCTGGACACGTGTTTTCCAAGAAGCTCTTGCATTTGCTGGTGTCAGCGCAGCCCTCCCTGATACCAGTCAGCCCAGCTGCAGCTTTCCCCGAAGAGAAAGCAGCAGAGCTGTAGAAGTATTTCTGAATTTTCCTGTGCTGTGCCAAGCAAGTTACAAAGATGAGGGCAGAAAGGCATTGCATAACTATTCTCTTGCTTTCGCTTACTCTGTTTTAAGCACTTTCCTGAACTTATTTTATTCAATAGGTATTTGTGTCAAACCAAAGCATACAGATGCAACTATATTTGTAAAAATATGGATACTAGGGCAAATTTTTTCATTCCAGAAGGAAAATTCCTGCATTTTCCCATACATACCAAGCTAGGTACCAAGCAACATACCAAGGAAAACAGACACCTGGAAAGAAGCAGAGACAAGAAACCCATAGATAATTAGTAGCATAGTAAATCATTAGTGTCCACATTTGATTTTGGCCTTGCAGAAACTTTTTAAATACATTTTTCTAGAACTACTTACAACCTTTGTTTTCCATAAAATACATTAATCTATGTAGATACTCTAATCTTTTTCCTTCCCAATTCACTGCCTTTTTTCACCACTTATCAAATATCTGATTGCTAGAACGTTGCATGCTGGTCAGAGTAGTAGCTGTACTAACCTTTATCTTGAGTTCTGAAACATCAGCTCCACCACCACCTCCTGCCTCCCCCCCAAATTACTTAAATGAGACACCAGCGGGGTGTGTGTTACTAAGGCTCTCCAACTTCTTGTAGAAACCAGAAGTTCTCATATGTAAGACTGTTTTTTTTTTTGTTTTGCTTTGTTTTTAAAAGAAGGGGAATGGGGGGAAAAGGAGGAAAGGCGAAGGACAGCCTTGTCCTGAAGAATCACTGCCTGCCAGGAATTTACTCCATGCAGGCTGAAACTCCTCAAACTGCTGGGAGCCTTCCCCAAGAGAGCCCTTCCGCAGTGGCTTGTGGGCTGCCCCGGCTCCCCCTCCCACCCCTGGACAGCCCAAGGGTTGCTGGAGCCAGCCGGACACAGCCATGACCTGGCCAAGCCCAAAGGATGAGTGCAGCTTACCACTAGATCCAAAGGTTCACTCCGCCCTGCATAGGTGCTTCCTACATGCTTGTAAGGATGAGGATACAGACTGTTCATAGCACAGAAGATAAACTTTTATAAGTCAGAACCTAAAGTTCTTGAAACCATACAAATTAGCAGTCAGTGATTATGTAAATTTGTAAAAAAAAAGCATGAAACTTAATTCTTGTCTGTAATTGCAGAGATTGAACATGATAGCAGCAGCTGCATTTCTGAGGCGATAATGAGGTTTGATATAAATTACTTTCTGGCTTGTTAGGACAGAGGGACAACCTTGTGCATCCTCCACTAAAAACCTCACAAAATGAGGGGAGCTGACACTGTCATATACCCAGAACAATAAGAAGCCTCATGAGATACCCTTATCTGCATTTTTATTAGCTTATTCCTACAAAAAAAAAAAAAAGGGGGGTGTGCTCAAATTCTACAAGTATTAACTATGAAAGGACATTAGACAATATCTAACTAAACATATTTTTTAACACGATGCCCTCACATTTTAAAATGGAATGGATTCAAGAATGGAGAGAGGTTCTGTGATGTTACTTAAAGGATCTTGCTTATGGGTAAAGAGGAAACAAATCTTATATAGATAGGTAAAGACAAAAATTTTTTGGTTAGTATAATGAAAATCTTAGTCTAATGCATAAACCATCATTAGTCTAAATCTAATTATTACAAAAATAAAAAGAATAATAATGTAGTTAAAGTACAATATTTACAGAAAAAGTCATGACAATAGTAGTATTATGGTTAAAATTGTTACACACACACACACACTCATGGACACTGCCCTAGAGATTGCTCCGCTGGGCATTCAGATCAGTATCTTCAGGCTGCTGAAAGGAATAACACCAACAATCAGCCACTGGCTTCTTTTCTTGGGAGAAACATGATGCTAATAGTGGTAGCTTCTTCTTCCCCTCCCCAGGATCCATTTTAGGTCATTTTTATCTGTTTGCTAGCATGCTTTTACACCTTTCTTTTTCCTCACTGATCTGCAGCTTCAGGTTACATCTGAATTTACTATATATAGTGCCATTCACATATGTTAGATACTATTTCTTTGATCTCTTTGTTAACTCTAAAATCAATTTTATGAAGCCAGGCCTGCATTTATTTTTATTTTTTTTAAACTAAGCATGAGTGAGTTGTTTGTATCCATAGGTGCTCCAGTACCCAACCCATGCCCTATCTCTTTGTTAACGTGTAGCCCTGTAACACAGCATTGCTGTTGCCAGCAGCAGGCCATAAGCTTTGCACTGAGTTTGCATGGCCTCAGGACTGAGGCATGCCAGGCCTGCTCTGTGCGAGCTTGTCCTGACCTGCCGGCAGCTTTGCTTTTGCTTGGCACAGCTGTGACAGCAATTTCTTGAATTGACTGTATCTAATTTGGTTTCCTTTCGTTTGTCATTGCACAGTACAACTGCAGTTTTATGTAGAGAGCAGCAACAGACAGTTGTTCTAGGTGGGATGAGATATTTGGTACTCTTACACAATGATATACAGGTGTGGTACAACAGCAGAGACCTTGCAATGTGGAGATACAGGATGAAGGAGTGGAGGCAGAGGCAATAAGACATTGTGTGAGTGTTATGTGGATGACACAATACCAATAAAACAGTAGCCTAAAGCATGGTGCAAAATTCTGCAAAGATGCATCAGCAGAGGCAGGAGGGGGAAATGACCCTTCCTTAGTCTATGCATGATAACCAGGTCAGCCTATACTAGCCTGAAATATTCTCCTTATCGTAGATGCCGCTGGATTCGAACAAAGTAAACGCTGGGAGCTATTAGGAGCTCTTGCCACATTCTCCACAACACAATGTAATGCATGGCACAGAGCCAAGCTTAGTGACTCATAAAGTTTCTATTCCCCTACTAGTGGCGGTTGCAGCTTCTTTCGCAGATTCAGACATAAGCTGAAGTTTCACTTTCTGGTTGCTGTTAAATTACTCACAGATCACATGAGGGCTGGAGCACATAAAAGGGAAATCGTAACAACAGTGACAGCAGTCCTTTGGCACTATCTTAGGACAAGTGAGCAGAGAACAACAACCATGAGGTAAGTGAGCAACGCAGTCTCTGAAAGATGCTTTTTTGCTATGCCACGGGAAAATAATGCTTATTATTTACATAAATGTAAGCAGTGAGGGACTTCGGGAATCCAAAGAGCAGAAAATATTTTACAGAATATTTACTGGAAGAACCAAAATAAAATAAGGATGCTATTGAATATTGCAATGTTATTGCTTCTCTGACAAGGGCCAGACTCTGTGAACAGAATTGACAGCCAGAAAAATTGTGTGCATGCAGTTCAGGGATGAAATCCAGGCTGCAGCCGTAGCTGGTGCCCAGCCAAATGGGTGACTGGCACTGATGCATTTGAGAATTTACTTTCTGATCTCTGCTACTGTGAGGACCAGCAAACAGGGCAGTGCAGGTTCTGGGCTGAAGCTTGGACTGAGAGAGGCACAGTAACATTTTCTGAAGACTGTCATGTATGCACAGAGGCGCACACACATTCAAGTAGAGCAAAGCTAAGATGTTTATGACAACTTTGGAAACTGCATCTACCAGTTATGTGTTGAACGAAGCTAAACTGTATTTAATCTGCATCACAGACCTATTTTTGTGACATTCATGAATATTAACTTTCCATAAATGTCTTTTCATTAATTACTCTCTACTGTTGTTTTCAGCCATGGACATTGTGGTGACTCTCAGCTGAGACAATAAAAAACAACACACACTTGATTTTAAATTGAATGGGACTACTTAAATGCTTCAAGCTCTTCCTTCTGATTTGGGAGCCAATATCTATTCTGTGGTATTCACCTCTAGCCAAAGGTTTCTAACAAGATAGCGATAGTAACAGGAACTTACTGTCACTTCCCCTTCATCCCAGAAGAACTGTAATTACCTCACATATGGCTTTTTAATTAGGAACTGTTGTAAATACCAATCAAAAACATCAGTTAGGCAGAGAGGAGTATTTGAGAAAGGCAAAGTAGTCTGTAAGACAAACTTATGCATTAACTGCATTTATAAATACCGCTTTTGTCTGATTCCTCCGATACCTCTGTGTCAGATGGTTTGGGTGGAAAGGTGCACTCGGTGTTGGTTTTCCTAGTGTCCTTCCCACTGTCCCAGAACCTGTAAGGATGGCTTCCCGATTCCTCCTTGATTTGCCTCCTTGTAATTTTCCAGTCTTTCCACTCACTCCTTTTTTTTTTTTACCCAAAAGACATCTCCCTTTTACATGACCGTGCAGTTGAGTGGCAGCACATGTTGTACCACGCAGGCTGTTAGACCCTCTAGGTTTACAGGAGGGAGAGCAGAGAAATCTTTCTAACAAATAAGGATTTGACACAGAAGCCTCAGTTATGAAGTTGTGTATAATTCCTTCTTTAAGGGAGAGCACAACATGGACTGAAGTGTTGTCTCCTCTGCATTCTAAAGGTTTTTCCTTGACAGATTGTGTGATAAAAGCTGGTCTGCGCACCTACACAGGGGCACAGCAGGCAATGGCAAGAGAGGGAACCCAAATAACACCCTGCCCCAGCTGCTCCCAGGCCCATCCCAAGAGCCATCAGCCTGTCCCCACACACATGGAGGAACAGAGAGGCACAAGGGCAGGTGGGGGCTCCCCAATGCCCCAGTCAGGAACACAAACCCCCACCTGACCCTCACAGGGCTGCCCCAGGGGACCCTCACCACCAGGGGTCCACAAGAGTGCCTTACAGTCTGAACAGCCTAGGGATGTGGGACATATTACGGGATGCAGGAAAAAGCATTTGGGGATTGTGTGAGACTTATTATGGGATATTTGGGGAGAGGACCAAAGGCAAGGAAACAAGGGATCTAGGTGATTTGGGAAGGAAAAAATGTCAAAAAATAGGATAGGATAAAGGGATATTAAAGACCAGTTGTATGTAAACAGTCTGGTCAGATGCATGTGTGCCTAGGGATGAGGCACCTGGGTAGAGAGAGGATCCCTGATCAGCTCCTGGATGTCCAAAGCCAGCTTCTGGGGATCTACAGGGCAAGTGAGTGAGTGAGTGAATGTGCGGTCTGTACCAGCAAGTGGAGTGGGGTTGCACCCTTGAGGGCCTGTACACCCACGTGCCAGCAACTGGGGAGGCTGGTGGGATTCAGGAGTCAGCAAGTGGATACATCAGTGTAATCACAACATAAAAATGGTGCTATGATCTAACAAAGATTTACAAATGCAGGAAATTCAAAATGAAAATTATAACTCAAATCATAAGATACACAGAGACATGGGAAAGGCACTATATCACTTTCTATTTTGGGGGAAGTTTTTTTATTTGATTACCTGTTTTGGTTAGGTTTCAGCAATTGTTCCCAGCATAGGAAATATGATCCTGAGGCCCAGAGGTGTGCCAGCTTTACCACAGAGACTAGCCCTCCTCTTTGACATTCCAACTACCAGCTCTGTTGCTATGTAAGAGGTGTGCTCATACACTGGCAAGGAGAACTATTAAAATAACTATTCCGTTCTTTAGACCTATGGCTTCCCATAGCTTTGTCTTGTTTGAAGTATTGTTGACTAGTGGCACCAGGTGACGTAGTGCCTGCTTTTGAAGTACATCATGCCTGGTTTAAAAACAAGAGTAGCAAATGGAGTATAAGTAAGTTTTTATTTTATTTCTTCTAGTACCATTTCCAAAAATTCCTTGAAGAGCTCCCTGCTGCAGCTAGAATGTCATTTTACATGGACTTTGCTGAAGCAGGATGTGGATCTCGATGACCTAGAGGAAACAATAGGCGATCAGATCGAGTTTCTCATAAAATCTAACATCACAAATTATAATCTACTATCCTATGTATGCCACCTAAAGAATTCAAATGAGGAAGCCCTGAGAAATCTCAAAAAAGCTGAAGAAGAAATTCAAAAAAATCATCCAAATGAAATTGCCAGAAGAAGTCTTGTTACCTGGGGGAACTATGCCTGGATCTATTACCACATGGAGAGATATGAAGAAGCTCAAAATTATGTAAGCAAAGTGGAAAACAGCTGCAAAAAGCTTTCAAGTACTGCTCAAAGGAAGATTCAGCTTCCAGAGATCTATGCTGAGCAAGGATGGGCATTATTAAAGTTTGGGAGAAAATACTACGAGAGAGCAGAAAATTGCTTTGAAAATGCTCTGAAGAATGAACCCAATAACCCAGAATTTAATGCCGGCTATGCAATAGCAATGTATCGTTTGGAAGCTTTTTCTCACAGAAAATGTGAAGATACAAGGTCATCCCTCCAGCCCCTGAAGCGTGCAGTGGAACTGAATCCAAAGGATACTTTCATTATGGCATTACTTGCGTTAAAACTTCAGGATGAAAAGCAGGTTGATGAAGGGGAGAGGTACATTGAAGAAGCAATGCAAAAAACCCCTGATCTTCCTTATTTCCTGCGATATGCTGCTAAATTTTATAGAAGAAAAGAAGTGGACAAGGCACTGGAGATTTTGAAAAAGGCCCTAGCAGTGACACCAAAATCTGTCTTTTTGCATCACCAACTAGGACTCTGCTACAGAGCAAAGCTGTTTCAACTGAAAAAGACTAAAAGATATCAACCTCAAGAGCAAGTGGCAGAACTCATCCGACTTTCCATTTTTCATTTTAAAATAGTGACTGACCAAAAGACAAAATTTTTTTCTGCCCATACTGACCTAGCAAACATGTATGCACAAGAAAAGAGGTATGAAGAAGCAGAAGAGACATTTCAGAAAGCGTTTCAGATAAATATTCTATGCTATGATGATAAACAAGAACTCTACTACCATTATGCCAATTTTCAGCGTTTTCATATGAAATCAGAATCTGAAGCCATTAGGTATTACACAAAAGGGCTGAAAATTGGAAAAGAGTCTCATGGAAGAAATATGTGTAGAAAAGCTCTGAAGAAATTGTTGGAACAGAGAATTCAGGGAGGTTTAGGAGATGCAACAGATTTTGGTACACTCGGACTCATTCATAATCTAAACGGTGAGAAACATGAAGCAATTGAGTGCTATGAGAAAGCCATTGCATTGTGTCCTGACAATGAAGAATATCTGAGCGCATTATGTGAGCTACGACTTTCCATCTCAAGCTAAAGCTTCCAAAAAGCCTTCACACACACACACAAAAAAACCCCACTACAACCAAAACCCAAACATTTCAAAATATTTTTTTTTTTTTTTAAGATTGAAGTTATAACCAGATGAAACATCTAGTGGCATCACTTTCTAGTGATAATGTAGAAACTGCAGAAGATGATTTTTCATTTGTTTGTTCATTCACTAGCAGAGAGCATGCTTGGAAAGACTAAATAATAGCTAAGCTATCTTAGTCTTCAATGCTAACGCTGATATAAAGATTGTGTTTAAGTGATGATCCGTAGAACACAGAACTTCTAACCTGGAAATCAGACCTTATGTTCTACTGAGAAAAAGATGACGGAATCATAACGCAGTATTTCATCTATCCATTTGAAAGGCATGCTTATACACAAATGGATTTTCTGATGCTTTTCCAAGTATTTTTAAAATGTGGTTTTTTATTGTTATTTAGATGAAACTTTTGTTGAAGACTTGTTCAGTTTACTACCTTGTACATTGTTCAACTGTGAAAAATAACCACTATTTGGCTAATTCACTGGAAAGCTTACAAAACATGTATTATTGTGTGAACTATTAAAGAGCATCGTATCCAACAACTGTTGCTTCTGGTATCTGTATGCTGTCCAATCCTCATGTTAGTAGATGAAAGCAAGTGGAATGGCCATTTGAAAAAAGTAATAGGGATAAAGTTTTGGCAGGATATGAAAAGGTCAGGAGATCGCCCCATTTATTTTCCTGAACTCTCAGCAAAGCTGGCTTCAGAGGTGTTGCACCAAAGAATTAAACTCTGCACAAAACAACATCCGACTAGTTTACCCAAAACTGCACTCTCAGGAGCCGCTACAGCAAACATCTGGAAAGGAAGGAAAGGCAGTCTTTGAGATGCCAAAGAGATGGCTACCTGCGGCCATGCTTGTGAAACAAACCAGGGATAGAAAACATACACAAGAAATGTACTGAACTGGATAGGGAGGGCAGGGCGCAGCTATAGCATAGTTGCATGAGCACAGGAGAACAGGGCAGCAGAACACAAGGGTCATGTGGGAAAGGGTTGAGTGCCCAGAGAGTCTACGTGAATGGAAGAAAGGGTTGAAAAGACAGAACGGGTGGAGGAGGTGATTGTCTTCAGATATTCAACTAAAAGTCAGTGCTCTTTACAACAGTATTGTACCTTGGTATAATAGATCATGGTGCTCATGAGAAACTGATGCTGTACTTCCAAAACACTTCTGAGCCCTAGCCAGTAGCATAGAATGAAGCAATCTGGTGACAAAGCGCATGAGGAAGGATGTGCACTTTTGTTTCCAGCCATCCTGGGGCATGCCTGCCCCTGCAACAGCACATACAGACAGGATGACAGGCCTGAAGGAGTGTAAAATATGATGCCAGATCATGAAACATCAAGAAACATCTGCCCTCTCAGCTCTCCCTCAAAGAATATTTCATAATATAAGCAAAAGTGATCAGGAGCTTAACAGCGTACTGATACAACCACACCTTCTCCCTAAGAAAGGGCTGGGGTAAAATCCGTCTTTGTTGTGTCCTTGTTTTCCACCCACCTGCCAGCTTCTCTCCTACAAACAATGGTGGCCCTACCTAGGTAAAGAGCAGGGAGGGAGGAGAACAGGAAGGACTGGGAGCAGGACCGACACACCACTCCTGAAAGTTAGTAGGAACAAAAGTAGCGTTGAAGTCAGGAACTGGTGACTACCTATGGTGTTGGGCTCAGCTATGTGGTCAAAAGTCTATGTTAGGCGACCTCACTGCTTTTCTCAGTCTTGAGGCTTCTTACATCAGTATCAGCATAGTGGTCATCCAAACACTCCTGAGGGCATGGAGGGCAACAGGAAAGAATTGGAGGAAGATGTGGTGCAGGTTCCTGAAGCCATGGTGGCATATCCATGCTCCCCTCCACATCCTGCCACCAGGGCCTCTCCTGCCTCTCTCCTGGAAAATGAACCTTGCAGAAATAACGAGCAGCAATAAAGCATTTTGAGAAAAGTGTGAGGCTGAATTTTTATGAAGAGTCAGAGTGTCTCAGAGAAGACTGAGGTGTAGTGATGCTATTTTGAGAAAAATGTGAGGTTGAATTTTTATGAAGAGTCAGAGCGTCTCAGAGAAGACTGAGGTGTAGTGATGCAAGAAATCTGTTTATTGTGCCTTACCTTCTTCAGGCTCTGGAGGATTGAACCAGATGGCAGTACTAGCCCGAGATGCTAGATGCAAACACTGCTTTCTAGTTCTTGCCTCGTGCCTTGTAAAGGAGGAGCAATGTTACTTCCCACAGGGTGGTGCTAATGGATTGCCTGGCGCGGTGACACAGGGAAGAGGCTGAGCTTGGGCTTCGGGAAGTGGACAAAACGAAACACACATCTTGCAGTGTCCAAGTCCAATGGGCAAAACCAGAACCAGACAGAAGCTGAACACCTCTCAATTCGCACCCAAGTATGAATACATCACTGGAGCCTGCGCTAGTGGTACAGGGGAAACAGGAGCGAAGATAACCCTTCAGGAAGCATTCATTTATGAATCAAAAGCACCTTCTAAATCATATAGAAAACTCTACTGGAATACACCAGAGTAGTCACTGAGAAGAAAGTATTGTTTATTGAGGCGATCCTGACTAACAGTTTCATTACACTGACTATGAAGTAGTGTTAACAGTGTAACAAGCTCTTCCTTCTCACATAGATTTGTAACACTTTAGAAAGCAAACAAGGAATTGTTGTGGCAATATAAAATATATACATCATGTATTAACACAGCCAACCTTTGTTTTTCAGGAGATAAATTATTATCCAAGCTGGCAGAAATGTTTCAGGCTCAAAGTTCTCTCTTTTTTTTTTTTTCTGAAAACAGGGTTATTTTTCAACAGAAGGTACTTGAATTTTCCAGTGCTGTTTTCACACATTTTTTCAAGGTGCAATGTATTAAATGTTCCAAAGCTGACCTGATAAAAATTATCATTAGAACATAAGCAATTTCAAAAGAATGATGATTTCCCCATTTCAGACCTCACGGAAAGGATAACTTCAGCAGTTTTAAGCAGTTTTACTTACTTGCACTGAATTCCCATTCCCTGCACGGAATACAGTGTTATCCCAGGCATGATTCATCTGAGGTAGGATCCATGTTTCTGTTTTGGAGAGAAGTTGCCCCAGCCAAGTCAGACGATGCTGTCCTGGGATGCCGGACAGGCTGACCGATGCAGTGCTCCATCTAAGCTCGTATCCATCAGTGCCTAACAGGGCTGGGGGGAACATGCAGTGTTAGCCTGGCAAATTTGTTCACAGCTAGCCCAGGTATCTCTGCTTACCGCTGCACTATGCCATGCCAGGAAGTATCCTCTATGGAGAACTGCCTGAATGTTATCATCTCTGAAAAAAAAAAATTGCAGATACAATAAATAATTTTTTTAAAAAATAGTGTAATCCAGAGACTTCTGGATCCACCTGAAATATTTCACATGGCAGGATGAAGATGAACTGTCAGTTTGGGTTGTGTGGGCCAGTGGGTAGAAGTTTGGCATGAGGCTTCATAAACCTGGACTGTATTCCCATTTCTTCCACTCACAGGACATTACTTGTAACACTTCCTTCCTTCTGTTTCTTAGTGGGGAGATTCATGACAGGGCTGATGTTTCAGAGTGTTTTATGCACAGAAAGCATCATTCTGGTATACAAGCTTTTGTCCATTGGCTTAAGTCAGAGCAGAAATAGTGTTAGAAAACCCTGAAATAATTCTATCATTTTCTACAAAAGGTCTGTGTGTAAAACCAGTTGAATATTTTCTGCTAAATTAGATATTTAAAACAAGAAATACTGCCTTAAACACATACATGGAAAAGCCTATGAAAAAATACCTTGAAATAAAAAACAAGCTAATAATGTTTTACACAGTATTGTTTACTAGGATAAAAATGCATATAGTATTATTCCAACATGCTTTTACAATATGCAGTTCTAGTATGAACAACTGCTGACATGTTAAGATGTGGTAAGCAAAGTAATTAAATTTTTGTAAAGTAAATGACAGTGGTAATTCATAACTTGTTGAAAATAGCCTATCTTCTTTGTAGACCACACTATTCCCTACTTTTTTTAGATTAAAATTTTGCATTAAGATCTAAAACAGTATCTTCGTCACTACTAATTAATAAAGCCACTTTTTTTTTCCAAATGTGCATATTTTTCCTAACTCATTAAGAAATATTAATGGATAATTTTTGTCTTTTTTTAATGAACATACGGTAAAATCAAAATTAGCGCCCTGGACTCAATTGCTATGCAGAGCTGAAAAAAAGGTTATGTCATTAGTTTTAAGTAGTTTTTGTACTCCCATCTCTTATGCTGTGGTCTGTGCATACAGATCATGCTATTGGCTCTGACAACACTTCTGAAGCAGGGCAGCGAGAAATGCATTGTTTCAGCATAGACAACTGAAGTCAAACAATTTTAACGTGTTATATTTGAAATATGCACAAATAATAAAACTACTTGATACATATACTATTCATATATATAAAAAAATACGTTTTACTCCTTTAGCTGTACTCTTGATCTAAATCACACTGGTGAACATCAGTCTATGTTGCTTTCCCTTCTGAGGCACAGAGTGGATTAGAACACCGTGAGCAACCATTGAATACACTGCAGATGATTAACAGACCTACTAGTTCAGCATTGATGAAAATTATTTGCTAATGAACAGAATGCAGCTTTCTACAGCATCAAAAACCAGAAATGATTTGCATTGCAGAATGTGAAGTTCCTCCATCACTGACAACAGTTTCACTCTGGAAATGTAGAAACATCCCATTATTTATTAGATCATCACATCAGTAATTTACCCCATGAGCTACATTCAGTCCATAGCTTCCATGAAGCAGCCAGCTGTAGTATACTCCTCACACAAGTAGCAGGAAACCATTGGCAAATCACAGCTGTTGTGTCCTGGCTATACAGGACAAGTGACTTGATCAGCTCTTCAGTTGGCACAAATAAGCCATTTGCACCATCTGAAGATGCAGCTCCTGAGTACAAAAAGAGATAGAGTTGCCACTACAATATGCAGAAACAACTTTATCTGCCAACATCCTCTTTACCAATAGCCTATGGACTGGGCAGTCTCAGTTATCTGCTTGCACAGACTCAATTTCTTCAACAGCTGCTGATTTTACAGGAGGAAGAGGATCTGTATTTGGAAACACATGAGCCTCTCCTCTGGTCTCCTGGGCTCCTTTTGGTCTTCTTCCAACACAGCTAAAGCAGGTTTGTCTATCAGCCTGCCTAGTGCCCTAGCACAATTTTACTCCTCTTCAGATAGTAGACCAGCCACCACACCTCTTCTACCCTCCCAGACAAGTATCAGCTGGAAGATCATACCCGGAATGTCAATGTTTAGAAATTCAAGCTTTAAAAATATCCAGGGGAAAAAAAAAAGCAGCAACTGCCTCAAAATTTTGCTGTAGGAAGCTTGGGAAAGTAGGTCAAAAACCATATTTGAAATGAAATTGCAACATATGTACAAAATTCAGGCACACTGTAAAAATTAAAGCTGCTCCAGAGATACTTTCAGCGTAAATCACAGTTTCCTGCCAGATTTTCTAAAAAAAAAAAAAAAATGGCTTTGGGATTTGAAACAGTTATTGCAAAGAGTTAAATGCAGACTGATAAATGTGGAAGTTTTTTGGTGGTATGTGTGATTAGTCCATTGAAACATAACAGACTAGAACCCCAAAAAGCTTATTCCTTTAATACTACTTTTGAAATAATTTAAACTTTGTTGTTCAGTTTTGGTGACTGATTACTTTATAGTTTTCTTTTGATTATAGCCAATTATCATCTTTGACATTACCTGTGGAGTCAACATATTGCATTTCAAATAAATCTGTGAACATTTGTATCTACAAACTCTATTTTCAGTCTAGTTTTCTTCTATTACTGTGTTAACTTGGTATTACTGTTGCTGTATGTAGATTTTACCCAACTAAAACACAACAGAAAAATCTAATTGAGAAATGCATTGTTTCACAAGAGTAATAACTGTAATACTATAGAGCCACCTCTGTCTCAGTCAAAGCTATGCAGTACTAAATCTTGACACCACTTGTCATCTGTTGCTGTAGCTGTTTGTATCCACAGCCAAAAATTCAACATCCTTTTGGTCTAGTTCTGCTGTGACAGAATAAGCTATTGCTCCATTTGTCCAGATGTGCCGTTTCGTGCCCATATCGTTGGTGAGTGGCCGCAAATGTGTTCTTTTGATTTTCTTTGCTAGTCTTGCAAAGCACAACAACGTTGAACTAAATATCATAGAAAATCCACACAGGAAGAATGATGCAGTATAGCTGCCAGTTGTGTCCACAAGCCAACCTGGGGGGGTGGGGGCGGGGAGGAAAAATCATGTTTTTTTAAAGGTCCATGAGAATTCTGGTAATTTACAAATCCTATGATCAACAGGAGTTTTATAAACATCTGGAGTTATCACATATAAATACAATCAAACAGTACAGGTTTACATCACCATCACTATACTTTTGCCTCCTGGAGCAGGGAGGGATTTGTCCTCAGTAGGCAGATAAGATTTTTATGGACTTTTCTTTGGACGTCAAATCCATGAGAAAAGGCACAGCAGTCATCACCACAATACTAAATAAACATCTCTCAACTGCATGGATTTAACTGGCAGTCTTTAGACATGCTTACAGAGCCCTGGGATTAAATACTGTGTGCATAAGAACCTCATACAAAAGATGCAAGACATATATATACATGGCTGTTTGAAAAAGATCTCTGATCTTCCACAATATTCAAAACTGTTTCAAGTTCTTTCTAAAGAATAATAGAAGTACAGCTCTCATCCTTACTTCACTGTAATGGAACCGATGGGGAAAATGTTAGATATCGCAGTGATGAGCCTGTGACCAAACAGTAGTGACGTCACCTCACCCACCTGTTCAAAGCAGTTTGGAGATGAAAAGATCAAGTCCTCCACACCAAAAAAGCCTTGGAATGAAACTCTCTTTAGGTTACATTTAAAAAATTGTGTAATTTCACAGCAAAATCTTTTGTTCCTTCTACTTACACAATTTCTGAACTATGTGAAGTGGTGATGTAACAGCTCTTAGAAGCCTCATTCCATACGGTTTTGGTTTTTAAATTTCAACTTGCTGTAGGTGTAGAAATCATCCCATCAAGACAGGGCTTAAGTGGGATCTAAAGTCTTATGAAGGTCTAGGTGTGTTATTTCTCTGCCCAGGGTCTACCTCCCCATTTAGTGTGCGTTTGCTGCCCTTCCTCTCCTTTTACATCACAGCAATAGGTAAATATGGAGTAGTGATAAGATTATAGGAAAGTCACTTTTGAACTGACCTGCAACAGGCGGGCTCACTAGATATGGTATGGCATGCAGAAAATACACAACACCCAGTGCTGATGATAAGGAAGAAGTTCCCACTACATCTGCTGTCACGACAGGGATCAGTGTCACATAGGCTCCATCAAAGTAGCCAAAGGTAAATGAGAAAGGCACAAGCAAGGGGAAGTTTTGGAGAACTGGCAGGAAAAGACAACAGAGGCCATCCATTCCCACAGCAAAGAGGTAGCAAAAGTGCCGATGCTTCTTCAGGCACCTGCAAATTTCAGAATAGAAAATAAAAATAATATCATTGGACACAGCATCTCAGTTTCTATGCCTTGGCATGCAATGCTTCAGTCTCTCTTTTACGTAGCTTAAATTTAAGTCCATTTTCTTATACAGTTTTCAAGATGAAAAGCTCAGCACTGATGAGCACAGGTAG